GTAGGGTCGGGGATGATGGGGGGTTGGGAAAGATGGGACGTTCGGGGAGGGAGGCGGAAGGCGCGCAGTGGGAGGAACGAGGTTCGGTACGAGGTTCGGGGAGGTCCGGGAGGACGTCCGGGGAGGGAGGGGGAAGGTGCGCAGTGGGAGGAATGAGGTTCGATACGAGGTTCAGGAGGTCCGGGAGGAGGTTCAAGGAGGGAGGGGAAAGGTGCACAGTGGGAGGAAGGAGGCTCGGGGAGTGAGGGATGGAGACCGGCGGGTAGGGTCGGGAAAGATGGGGGTTTGGGAAAGATGGGACGTTCGGGGAGGGAGGGGTAAGGCGCACAGTGGGAGGAACGAGGTTCGGTGCGAGGTTCGGAGAGGTCCGGGAGGATGTTCGGGGAGGGAGGGGAAAGGTGCACAGTGGGAGGAAGCAGGCTCGGGGACTGAGGAATGGAGATCGGCGGGTAGGGTCGGGAAAGATGGGGGGTTGGGAAAGATGGCACGTTCGGGGAGGGAGGGGGAAGGCGCACAGTGGGAGGAACGAGGTTCGGTACGAGGTTTGGGGAGGTCTGCGAGGACGTTCGGGGAGGGAGGGGGAAGGTGCGCAGTGGTAGGAACGAGGTTCGGTACAAGGTTCGGGGAGGTCCGGTAGGACATTCGGGGAGGGAGGAGAAAGGTGCACAGTGGGAGGAAGGAGGCTCGGGGAGTGAGGGATGGAGACCGGTGGGTAGGGAGACGGGTCAGTCTCTCTCTCTCTCTCTCTCTCTCTCTCTCTCTCTCTCTCTCTCTCTCTCTCTCTCTCTCTCTCTCTCTCTCTCTCTCTACTTGGTCCTTTCTTCCAGCTTTGTCCTGTCTTCCACGGCGGGAGCTTCAGAAGGAAGTTCGGGGAGGGAGAGGGGAGGTACGCAGTGGAAGGAAGGAGGCTCGGGGGGTGAGGGATGGAGACCAGCGGGTCGAGAAAGATAGGGGGTTGGGAAAGATGGGACGTTCGGGGAGGGAGGGGGAAGGCGCGCAGTGGGAGGAACGAGATTCGGTACAAGGTTCGGGGAGGTCCGGGAGGACGTCCAGGAAGGGAGGGGGAAGGCGCGCAGTGGGAGGAAGGAGGTTCGGTACGAGGTTCAGGGAGGTCCGGGAGGAGGTTCAAGGAGGGAGGGGAAAGGTGCACAGTGGGAGGAAGGAGGCTTGGGGAGTGAGGGATGGAGATCAGCGGGTAGGGTAGGGAAAGATGGGGGGTTGGGAAAGATGGGACGTTCGGGGAGGGAGGGGTAAGGCGCGTAGTGGGAGGAACGAGGTTCGGTGCTAGGTTCGGGGAGGTCCGGGAGGATGTTCGGGGAGGGAGGGGAAAGGTGCACAGTGGGAGGAAGGAGGCTCAGGGACTGAGGGATGGAGACCGGCGGGTAGGGTCGGGAAAGATGGGGGTTGGGAAAGATGGGACGTTTGGGGAGGGAGGGGGAAGGCGCGCAGTGGGAGGAACGAGGTACGGTACGAAGTTCGAGGAGGTCAGGGAGGACGTTCGGGGAGGGAGGGGAAAGGCGCGCAGTGGGAGGAACGAGGTTCGGTACGAGGTTCGGGGAGGTCCGGGAGGACGTTCGGGGAGGGAGGGGAAAGGTGCACAGTGGAAGGAAGGAGGCTCGGGGAGTGAGGGATGGAGACCAGTGGGTAGGGACGGGAAAGATGGGGGGTTGGGAAAGATGGGACGTTCAGGGAGGGAGGGGGAAGGCGCGCAGTGGGAGGAACGAGGTTCGATACGAGGTTCGGGGAGGTCCGGGAGGATGTTCGGGGAGGGAAGGGAAGGCGCGCAGTGGGAGGAACGAGGTTCGGTACGAGGCTCGGGGAGGTTCGGGAGGACGTTCGGGGAGGGAGGGGGAAGGTGCACAGTGGGAGGAACGAGGTTCGGGGAGATAGGGGGGGTGGGAGGCTTGGGGAAATAGGGGGTAGAGGGAAAGATGGGGGATAGGATGTTCGGGGAGGTGGGGGGGGACAGGCAGAGGTAGCCGGAGGTTCGAGAGGTAGAGGAAGGTTCGGGAGGTAGGGGGACAGGCAGAGGTAGGGGTGACAAGCGGAGGTAGGGGGCACAGGCAGAGGTAGGGAGGTTCTGGGACAGGCAGAGGTAGGGGGAGGTTGGGGAGGAGGTTGGGGAGGTGATTTATTGATTGATTGATTGATTGATTGATTGATTGATTGATTGATTGACTGTGCGATTGATTTGTTGATTGTTTGCTTGATTGTTTTCAGTGAGCAGACTGGTGAATGTGGATAGAGAGTGGACGAGGGAGAGCGTTGAGGGAGGGAGCGAATTGAGGCTCTAACCTTCCGCTTTTGTCGATTGGTTGCAGGATGACGAAGAGCTGCAGTGAGCCCGTGAAGAAGCACTTCACGGAAGTGGGAGACAGCGACAGAGCCAAGAAGGGTAACAAACAACGGTGTCGAGCCGAACCCCGGTAGACTTTCGAGTCTTTGTCGACCCGCGGCGGGTCCCATTTGGCTCGACCCGCCCAGGCTCAGGCTCAAGGCGCGGGTCATTCGTCCCGGGGCCACCCCCACCTAGTGCTTTGGTATGGATGGGGATGGGCCAATAGGGCGAGAGAGCTTGACATTGGGGATGTAGCTCAGCCCTTGCTTTGGGTGGTACCCTCGCTGGTCAGATGCTGCAAGCGTAAGTTCTCGATTCCTCGTTGTGTTCGCAAGCAATTGCTCCTTCCAATACTCGGGCAGTCCAAGGAGTTTATTGAGAGTTTCTATTCTTTACGTGCGTAGGCTAAGCGTTATCCTTAGGCCACGCACCTTTTCCCTAACGTCCCTAATGACCTACGGCATCATCGGGGCGAGGCCGCACCGCTCTCCCCCCTAGCCTCTACCATTTTCTTACTCGGCATAGACATTTTCATTCAACAATTCATTGTGGGCCCCTTAGTCTTTTCGGGCGCCCGCCTAGCATGCATCAATCCAAAGCACATCCACATCACACAAAGCTACCCCCTTCTCTGATCTTCTCCAGTCGCATACTCTTGTCCCCATCAAGCGCTCAAGTCATCCCAGGCTACTCACCTGCACAATTCCCACACAGGCAACGAACAACATCCATCCCCCATTAGGGTCAACACATCGCCCTTCCCGCAAGCCTAAGTTCCTTTTCTTTGCCATGGTTCTTCCATCTTTCTTCTTCTTTCCCGCAGTCAAGCCATACTCTTCCCTTAGTCATGCAGTCGGGGAAATGGTTGAGTCAACTGACCTTGCACAAAACTTGCACTTGTCTTCACTTTTCTTTTCAACGATTCCGCTTTTCCAAGTTCACAAGTCTTTCACTTTGCTCCTTCTTGGTGGCGCAAGGGACCGACTACCCTCCCCTTGCCCTCTTTCTTCACCAAGTGAGGCTGCCTCTTTGGTCACGTGTCAAGAGGAAAAGATGGGGAGGGAAAGGGTGAGCTTACTTGGAGTGCGCGCGAAGGGGGGTGTCGATGACAGACGAAGAGAAGGTATAAGAGAGGAGAGAGAGAGGGAGGGGACGAGAGAGAGAAAGAGACCCCTAGGCCTAATCAAACTTACTTCTTGATCGCCCGCCTACCCTACCCAAGACGCGCCATGCCCCGTAGTCGCCCTACTTGAGCATAATACACGGGTGCCTGGAGGAGACGGGGGAGGGAGAAGGTACAAGGTGCCTGGCTATGGAGGGTGGGTGAAGGAGACGAAGGAGGGAGGCGCAAGATATCCGGCTGTGGTGGATGGGTGAAGGAGACGGAGGAGGGAGAAGGTGGAAGGTGCTTGGCTATGGTGGATGGGTGAAGAAGACGGAGGAGGAAGAAGATAGAAGGTGCTTGACTATGGTGGATGGATGTGGGAGATGGAGGAGGAAGAAGGTATGGGGTGCTTGGCTATGGTGRACGGGTGTGGGAGATGGAGGAGGAAGAAGGTGGGAGGTGCTTGGCTATGGTGAGCGGGTGTGGGAGATGGAGGAAGAAGAAAGTGTGGGGTGCTTGGCTATGGTGGACGGGTGTGGGAGATGGAGGAGGAAGACGGTAGAAGGTGCTTGGTTATGGGGGATGGGTGAAGGAGATGGAGGAGGAAGAAGGTAGAAGGTGCTCGGCTATGGTGGATGGGTGAAGGAGATGGAGGAGGAAGAAGGTGGGAGGTGCTTGGCTATGGTGGATGGGTGAACGAGATGGAGGAGGAAGAGGGTGGAAGGTGCGTGGCTATGATGGATGGGTGAAGGAGACGGAGGAGGAAGAAGGTGGAAGGTGCTTGGCTATGGTGGATGGGTGAAGGAGATGGAGGAGGAAGAAGGTGGAAGGTG